ACGCTCTCACACGTTTATTATTTTATCATTTTGGGAGGAGTAAAATTTACATATGTGGTTTCAACAACCAGATGCAATTTACACGATTTACCACCTCCTGAAGTGGTTTGAGCGATCGGATTTAAGGTATATCCATCTCGAATGCGTTTCGGAGGGCATTTACACCTGGTCTTTAATTTTATGTATTTGAACGTTTTAGCGCAGTTAGCCACTCATTTTGGTATTTGTGGCTCACAAGCTGTTTGAGACTGAGTGCGGCTTGTGTGCGCTCCAGGTGACCATGATTTCACCAAGTACGACATGTTCCTGGAACAACATTCCAATTAACCAATCAGAATTGAGGGAATTACACCCTTGTTAATCAGCTAACATTTCACACTGATTTTAGGAATAAATTATGGGTAAGGTTAGGTTTAGGGGTAGGGATTGGGTTTAGTCTATATTTGTGGACAGCAATGTTGATCCAGGATAAACAAAAGATGATGTGCCGCTGGTAACAAAACGGATCAGCTCGAAATCAGAAAGAAGTGAGACTGATCGGCCGATCACCGATCCAGGCCGATCATGAGGAAAATTGGCCGATTCCGATCCTGCGGCCGATCGATCGGTGCATCTCTAATATGCAATGGCAATATTTAGTTACTCTACTGTTCAAAGTTTGGGATTTTTTCTTTCTTTTAAGGAAATGAAATTCAGCAAGCATTAAATTGATCAGAGGCAACAGCAAAGACATTTAAAATGTTACAAAAGAATACTATTTTTAAAATAAATGCTGCAAATGCCGTTCTTTCAATTTTATATTCATCAAAGAAACCTGAAAATGCAGAAATAAGCTGTAATGCTAATGCGCTGCTAATGCTAGACATTAGATGCTAACATATTATGCCATTTAACAGCTGACACTTACACAGTATGTTTTCTTCCATTTAGATAAGATTTATTAATCCATTTATCTATGAATGTTCACTTGATAATATTATTTTGATAAATTAATTGGATTAATTATATTTTCTATAAAAACGATGTAAATTAGAACTAGCTATTAGCATCTTCTGTGAAACAAGTTAATAAAACACTCAGAATCTTCCCAAGACAACAAATGCTGTATGGATGTTGCTGACTAGCTAAGTAACACTTTATTTTAAGGAGCATTTCTTACTATTAACTAGTTGCTTATTAGCATGCATATTACTGGCATAATGGCTGTTTATTGGTACTTATAAAGCACATATTAATGCCTTATTCTGCATCACCATATTTTAGATCCCTTAATACTACCCCATACCTAAACTGAACTACCTTACTAACTAAGCAGAACATTACGAGTCTGTTGAGGCCAAAGTCATAGTTAATCGTTAGTTGATAGCGAGAATTGGTCCCTAAACTAAAGTGTGACCAAAAATAAATAAATAAATGAATCTTATTTTCAACTCATATTGCGCAAGTTGAAACTCTTAACACAATGTTGCTTCCAAACACAAGAGAAATGTACTTGAAACTTTAACTATACGCATCATTATCCATAACATTTTGAAAAAAGCCATTGCATTTGGAATCTATTACTGGAAACATTAGATGTATAGTGCAATCTGACAAAATAGGCTAATTAAGCAGAGATAATAGCTGAGCAGAAAATGTCACCAAAGCTTATTAGCATTACGACAGGAGAAATGAATCTGCTGCCCCAGGCTTCATTTTTATTTTCTGTAAGTGTTGAATTGGTTGTCACACACGTGTCTTCCGACTGCCGCCCAGGGGGGCAGAACAAGGTGCTTTCCTCATAGAAGATGCTAATCTCCCTCAGAACTGATAGCAGTCTTCACTGTGTCTCCCACTGACTGGCTATCTCTTTTAATGTTTATTATTTCCACATGCTCAACCTCCTCACTTTCAATTTCTGCTGGATCTTTAGTGCCCTTTAAGAAAATAAACAAAATATGCAGATTTCTGCAGGACTGACACTTCCTCATTAAAACCAGTGTTACTTTTGTTAACTAACACACAAAATGATAAAACATACTACTAAAATAATACTAAAAATGACTAAAAAATAAATAAAAATAAATTAACGCTATGTAGAAATACATAAAAAAGAAAAATAGAAAAGCACATAAATTTACTAAAACTAAAAACTAAAAATATTAAAATAAAATCTAATTCAAAGTATTAATAAATACTATAATAAATAAAAATAAAATAATACTGACTGCAAACATTGTTATGTGATCGAATAGAAAATTACATATTTTTGAAAAAAATTATCAATGACAACTGATAATGACAAATGACAAAAGTGCTCTTTTGGTGTTTTGACCTTTTTGAGGTTGACAGATCAGTCTCTATATGAACCATCATTATATAGATAGAGAGAGATAGAAAGATAATTTCTATATCCATTTTCTATGAAATAAATAAATAACATACAGGTTTAGGACAACACGAGTGTGAGTTTATAATGACAAGGGATGGTAAGATTTACAGATTTGCATCGGTGGATCGGCATAAAAGTTAATGATGCGATGCATCGATTTAAAAAAAGTGTGCATCGGACACAAGTTGGCTATATAGCATCAGTATGACATGACATATTTGCATCAGTAAAAAATTGTTTATTTGTAAATAATTATTAGTAGATGCGTTATACTTTTATCACTAAGAAAGTGACCAATAATTTGTGACCAGTATTTTATATGTAGATTGATTTCTCCTCTCTAAACAGTTTCTCAAGCACGTTCTCTCATCACCACTGCTGCACTGTGAATATGACGCATCACAACAACTACGGAGACCGAGGCATGTCCTGAGAGTCACATAGAATATAGATTAACATGGCTGTCTGTCTGAACCAAAGAAATAAAAGTGATCTATCTGTACCATATTGAATTGCATTGTATAATATTTTTTTTCCATTGCACTGAATCGCATTGTGTTGAACTGAATCGAAATCAGATCGCACTGCATCATAATGGGGTGAATCGTATCGCATCGCATCGGTAGCTGCTTCATAAGTGTCTTTAATGTATCGTATCGTTGGCTATGCATCAAGATGCGTATCACATTGGCCTCAGCTATAGAGAGGCACATCACTAACAATGACATAATATTTATTTGGAGGGAACTGTCAATTGAAATGGAAAAAACACATCTAAAATTAAATCAGATATTCAAATAATAAGCAGCAGTGTTAGGTGAGTCAGTATATAGAGACTCAGTGGTTAAGGGAAAAACAGGTGGGCGCAGGCAATGCGACAGACACACATAACTGAAAACCAAACTGCACCTACTATTTCATCTGAGCAAACGAGTCTTTCCTCAACAGGTAAAACCCAGAACAAAGCAATCTGGTGATTTCTGTGGTCGGAAAGACTGACATCACACTTTTATTATCAATCAGAGGTTTACGAGCTGTTATAGTTTCAGATCCTAATTCATAAAATGGACTGCAGCATGATGTCAGAGGTCAAACACACCAGGGTAAATACATCTCTGTTCTTTGGACTGGGACATTTTGACTGACAGTATTAAATGTACAAGACTCATCATTGATTTAAAGACTGACATCAAACGGCTTGCGGCTTCTGCGGGCAGCAAACACATCCTCTAACTAACAGACCTGTGTTTTTGGGGTTTTTTAATAGTCGGGAATTATTGCTCTTATTGCTGCGACTGTGACTGGAGTTTCAATTAGCTCATCATGACAAATGCATTCCACTGATTATTAACACCACGGAATCAAAACAATAAAGCCCTTAGCACCTAGCTGAGCCTACACATTACTCAGTGGCAAGAATACACACACTGTCTCCTCTTGAGGACAACCTACATTCTATGACATAATCAGTAAACAGAGTTTCTAGGGCGGGGCAATAAATCGATAACGATAATTATCGCAATATAACTTTCCTCGATAAAACAATATGAAGAGTTTGATAAATGTTCGATATAATGTTTATGCACCAGAAGTGGAACGAAACAGCGTGACTCATTTGAACCGCATCACACAGACCATTTATCTGCTCAGCTCAAAGTTCAAACAGCAGCGCAGCGCGAGCTCACTAGAGCAGATGCGTTTACTCACTGATAAATCGCAGTTACGCGAGCACTAAACAGTGCTGTGCGATTGAATTCAGTGAAAAACACAAATGACTCGAACTAGTTTAAAGCCAGATGAAACAGCGCTGATAAACAGTCAGAAGGCTTTTCAATCTACAAATCACCATCATTTACCATGGATTTACTGTAGTAATACTAACTGCACTGTGGTATTGTCAGAAATGTCGGTACTCATATCGAATTTTAAAATATTATTAATGTAGACATGAATTAAATGTATTAAAGGGGTAATGAATATTATTACAGTATTTTCGTGATTAAGCTATAGCGTTTGTGCATTTATACTAAATGTTTTTAGACTACTGTTTTTCCATACAAATACCTAAAAACCATATAGTTATATTTTTACCATGGTATTAAGGTGCTATATGTGTGGTTTTACCTGTGGTTATCATGATATAAAAGTATGCTACTATGGAAGACCGATGGAAAAAAGTCAGAATAATTAAATTTCACCATATAAATATGAGGTTGCTACAATTTTTACAATGTTACAGATGATTTTGATAATGAACAAAAATTTACACCTGCATCCTAACACAAGCTACTACTATTATATGTGCATTTCTAAGAGGCAAAATTAATATTATTATTAATATTAGGCAAC